TGTGTGTGTGTGTGTGTGTGTGTGTGTGTGTGTGTGTGTGTGTGTGTGTGTGTGAAATTTCTCTTTATAATTTAATATTATAATAATATTTCTCTTTATAATAATATTTCAGGTAATGTAAGGGAGAATTAAAATATCAATTTTTACTACTTATAATGATAAATGACTCTAAACATTGACTACCAATAGCCTCTGATATCACAAAATGAGACAATATCAGATGTTCCCCTTATGAGTGATACTATCTGTGAATGTTCTTGCCAGATAAGCTCAAACTGATCAAGCACCTACATACAACTTCCAGTTTGTAGGAAGCATAGAGCCCAAAAAATTATGCCAAATGACACCAATGGGACATTGCCAGCAAGCCACTAGACTGGACAAAACTCTTTAGAGCAGATGATCTTATTTGAATTAAAACTACACTAGCCAAAACCTGTAGATTAAAACTCATCTTAGTAATATACAAATTAATGGCATTATATGACCATACTTGGGTTCTACCTGAATTTTTTTTAACTGGCTTTTATTTTTTTGGTTGGTCGTGGGGCTTGAACTCTGGGCTTGGGCGCTCTCCCAGCACTCTTCAGCTCAAGGCGAGTGCTCCACCACTTGAGCCACAGCGCCACTTCTGGTTTTCTAGTGGTATTATTGGAGATAAGAGTCTCACAAACTTTCCTGCCCTGGCTGGCATTGAACCGCAATGCTCAGATCTCAGCCTCCTGAGTAGATAGGATTACAGGCGTGAGCCACTGGTGCCCAGCTTAACTGACTTTTTTATTTGGTCTGTCCTGGGGCTTGAACTCAGGGCCCGGGCTCTGTCCTCAAGGCTAGCACTCTTACCACTTGAGCCACAGTGCCACTTCTGGCTTTTTCTGTATATTTGGTACTGAGACATCGAAGCCAGGCTTAGTGCATGCTAGGCAAGCACTCTACCAACAAGCCACATTCCCAGCCCCCTACTTGAATTTTAAAAGCTGATTGTAAAACTAACAAAAATGAGAAAAAAGGGAATTCTTTCACACTTACAAATTTGAACCTTAAATTGATTATTCAGTATTAAAGTATTATTAACTTTTTTAAATAGTGGATTTGTAAAAACCTTGTATGAAACAATTTATCATGGAAAAAGCATCTAATGACCAATAAACCCCAGATGCTTATTGTTATTGAAAACAATAAGCCATATTTCTTGGGAGCCCTCTGAAGTACTTCCAATGATATTGAAACCATTAATCAAAAGATGAAAATCTACTCGATAATGTTTATGCAAGAAGTTCAAACAAAGCTGAGCTCTGTTGGCTCATGCCTATAATCCTAGCTAATCAGGAGGCTGAGATCTGAGGATCATGGTTCAAAGCCAGCCTGGGCAGAAAGTCCGTGAGACTCTTATCTCCAATAAACCACCAGAAAACCAGAAGTGGAGCTATGGCTCAAGTGGTAGAGCACTAGCCTTTGAGCAGAAGAGCTGAGGGACAGCACCTAGGCCCAGAATTGAAGCCCCATGAACAACAACAAAAAAGTTCAAACAAAAGCTAGAATAAAGAAATGCTGTTTATTCATGCAATGAAGTTCTAGGAGATTGTTTAATTTACAGTGTTTGAAAAATGACTGGTTTGAATCAGCTCTGGCTCTGCCACTTGCTAATAATGTCCTCCTGGACAAATAGCTTTTGTATGCCATCTTTTCTCATCTTTACAATGGGGAGACAACAGTGCTTATTTCAGTGGGCCATAAGATTGCTTTGAGGAATTAGGGTGTTTATACTTGTAATGATTCTCTTGAGTTCTACATTTCTTTTTTAGATCATGGAATGAGTCCTTTCACTAGCTTTCTTTCCTAAAACCTAGTTTCCTCTCTGAGTTCTGTAGTTGGAAAGCCTTGGGTTTGGGAAACAGACATACCTAGACCACACACAAGGCTGTAGTCTATCCTTTTGTACTAACATCTTACCCTTTCCCTTGACCATCTCCTCGTATGATCTGTATCCATTTATTTGGATTTGAATCTGGCCTGCTGTTTAGGTGACCCCCCATGAGTTTATTCTCCATATCCTGTTCCATGCTGGGTTTCCTTTGAGAGCTTTGTGGAATGACATTGCTTAACCTAGTATCTTCTGGACTGTTTTTTCTAGATAAGGAAGGAAGTCAACACATTCTTAACCATCTCATATAAAACTGAATGGCAAAATATCACCTATTTCTTTCTGACAGAATCATAAGAATTATTGAGAACTGTAAATGTTGTCAGAATTGAAGGGAAGCAGAGATACCATATGACACCCCTATCACCCTTTCACTTTGAGTATGTACTAATAGACATCTGTGTTCAGCATAACAGTCATGAAGCTCATAACATGTTGACCAGATTGAAAAACCAGCTTGAAAAGTTTTCACTTCAAACCAGAAAAGCAATTAGAAGATAGTTTTGTTCACAAATGCTTATTTTCTCCATCCACTAAAACTATTGTTACTATCACAGGGTATACTAAACTCCAAAAAGTCTCATTACACCTTTTTCTTCATAATTATGTTATAATTTTGTTTTGTGAAATATATTACTTTATATCTTAAGAAACCATGTAATGGAAAACCTTATTCCGGTTCTAATTTCATCTACTCATCTTTCTGTGCAATATTGGGTAAAACCAGTCTCTCTTAGAGTCTGTCCAATGTACAGTGAAGACAAGCAGTACTTAAATTTCCAGCCATTTTTGAGCTCAACCAAACTGCAAGCGCCTTTTGCCATTTATAGCTCAAGCTATGATAAAGTCTAGGCAAAATAAGGTGCTACTGCCCTCTACTGGTTCCAAGAATATACCTGCCTATCTGTGCAGTGGCCATCTATTCTAACTGGGAAGGAAAGATGTGTCCCTTCTTCACAGTTAGGCATAGCAGGAAGCCTCAAAGAAAGAAGAGACATTTCATTTTTGGAAAAAATAATATTTTATGTGCTTAAGAATAATGATTTCTTATGCATATGTCAGGCACCAAAGGTATTTATCTTTGATCACTTCACTATTGTAATCTCACTTCATAAGCAGGTTATGGGTTCTGAAACTTTAGGCCACTGTTAGTGTTTTGCACCATTTTTCTGCCTCAGAACATAAAGCAGTCCCACTTCAGTTGAAAAGATTTAGGGAAGTTTTTGCATATTCATTTTTCTTTTATAAACAGGAAGGTTATTATCTAATTTATGTCTTATTTTATGAATAAACAGGAAGATATTATTTCAGCTGATACTGTGCTAAGGAAAGATAACATGCAACATCATTGAGAAAAACGCTGAAGGAGAAAGAGAGGGCTTCATCAAACCCTCATATTCCTGTAGAGCTCAAGTTTTAGTTTATAATTAATAACTTTCTGGTATATTGATTTCTTAAAACCATGTTTTACAAAACTGATAAGGATTTAAGAGCTCAGGTTTTCTGAGCTCATCTATATTAATATAATTTCAAAACACCAAAGATGTTAGAGCTGTTGTTCATTGACTTACACTGCATTTTTAAAGAAATGCTACTACCTCTGACTATATTCATGAGAAAGTCAGTTGAGAATTTTGTTTTCCTCACACTTGAATTTCATGCCTTTAAAAATTCTTTCTGAAGCTGGGCACTAGTAGCTTACGCCTGTAATCCTAGCTACTCAGGAGGCTGAGATCTGAGGATCACGGCTCAAAGCCAGCCCAGGCAGGAAAGTCTGTGAGACTCATCTCCAATTAACCACCAGAAAACCAGAAGTGGTGCTGTGACTCAAGTGGTAGAGCACCAGCCTTGAGCTGAAGAGCTCAGGGACAGCGCCCAGACCAAGAATTCAAGCCTCATGAGCAACAACAACAACAAAATCTTTCTGAATAGGCCTCTGCATCACAACTGCAGTAATTGTTAATCCTCAGAATGAGGAGCTAAAATGTGAAAGGGGGAAAGTTGTGTAATCCATGTCTCACATATCACTGTGTGATTCATTCTGTATATCTTACCTTCTGCTTATGTAGCTCTCAAAATCATGATCTCTTATAAATAGATAGCAACTGTGTCTTTTTTATTACTAGGGTTTTGAACTTGGGGCTAGCAGGCACCCTATCAAGTAAGTGTGCCATTCCTCATCCCTGTAACTGTTTTAAGTGAACCCATAAGATACCATGAAGACGAATAATGATCTTTGTACACCTTACCTTCTTTTTGCTTCATTGCCCCAATTTATAGCCACCTAATAGGAAGAATGGAGTCATAGCCAATCAGCTCATTAGTAGTTCTCAGTGCTATCCTGACAGGACTTGCACATGGCATGCCATTCATAGAGACTTTTTTGTAGGTAAAATCATAATCACTCTGTTTCTAACCATCCAAGTTCACAGCATTTCTGGTGTCTATTCCACTTTTTGGTTTAGTGTGCCCTAAAGCAAGAAGTTCTTTTTGGAAGATCATTTTGGTAGAGTAAAAAGAACAGAGGCTTTGCAACCAGAAATGCTTGGACCTGAAAGACATTTCTGCCACTGACATAATTGTTACATGGCCTTACACAATAATTTAAACCTTCAAGCTAATTCTTCATTCCAGATAGAAAACTAAGCTGTAAGTTCTCTGACATCTAACTTAATAATTTTTTTAATTTAGTCTAAACTGTAGTCTGCTCTGAAACAAAAGTACTCTAAATAAAAGTAAAAGAAAATTAAAATTAATTTTTTAGGTTGTGATGTCTTTAACGATATGTTCTAGTTCTCCTAATTGTCTACTGCCTACTCTGTGCACAAGACTTTTCAAATATCTCTAATTCATAAATTCGATTTTTAGCTGTTTTTTAAAATGCCTATTTTGGTAAATGGAAGTAATTATGATTATAAAGGATTTAATAGAAAGTCCACACTGGCCAGTTAAAAATGAGTTCAATGCTGATTAGTAAGCCTTTGATCACCTCTGTGGTTAAATGTAGCACCTGTGACCTTGTGAACTGTCATTAGTCTGCTAACTCCATGGTGATAGATATTGTATGTCCTTGTAGAAACTTGCTCCTGGAGTCAGCCAGTTTGCTTACACCTGTGTACAGGACCACCCTATTTGGACAAATCAGCAGTTTTGGGAGACAACTTTTTACAACGCAGTGCAGGAACAGGTTCGTTCTCTGTATCTCTCAGCAAAGGAAGACAATCATGCCTCACATCTGAAGCAAAAGGTAAGAAAAGAAAAGAAAGGTGCTTGGGCAAGGCTAAGATTTGACTATAAGGAAACCTTATGTAGCTATCCCAGGGATGTGGGAAATGCAACCACTTCCTTTCAACGTATTAGGGGTTGGCTGTAGGTAGCCCTTTCTTCTATTAATTCTGACATATTTTTCCATAATAACCTCTTAACATCATTCTTTAACGCAAGAATTACTTTATTGTGTTTTAATAAGTAAGAATTCCTAGTAAACAATGGCCAGAAATTGAATAAAAAGAAAACTAAAATATGCCTAAGTATATTTCTAAAATGTATTTCTATGCAATTTATTTCCATGAAGAAAAGTCAAATTGAAGTTTATTGGTTTGAGGGCTAGGGATGTAGCTCAGTGATAGAGTGCTTGCCTCACATGAACAAAGCTCAGAGTTTGACTCTCAGCACTGGAAAAGAAAAGAACAGAACCAATTAAAATTAGTTCTGCTCTAAAATTTGTCAGCAATTAGGGCTAAAGTCACGATTCAGAGGTGGCCCCTAGCAAGTATGAGGTCTTGAGTTCAAACACCAGTATCACACTCACACACTCCTATGCCAGCAATATTTAGGTCTTCTTTACAACATTCTATATGTTTCTATATTTTTACAGATATTTAAATCAGGAAAATATTTTTAAAAATCAAGAAAACTGCTTTTAATTTGAAAAAGTAGTTAATATATTCTCCAAGTTTTAAATGTCTCTTATTAGCTGCCTGGTCTTGGACAACTCATTTTATCTCTCTATACCTTATTTCCTCATTAAAAATAATAGATTTTTCACATTTTCTTTTTTTTTTTTTTTTGGGTCCAGTCATGAGGCCTGAACTCTGGGCCTGGGTGCTGTCCCTCAGCTCTTCAGCCCAAGGCTAGCACTCTTCCACTTGAGCCATAGCGCCACTTCCGGCTTTTTTTCTTTTTGCTTATGTGGCGCTGAGGAATTGAACCCAGGGCCTCATGCATGCAAGGCAAGCGCTCTACCACTGAGCCACCTTCCCAGCCCCGATTTTTCACATTTTCTATGTGTAAAAGCTCTTTGAAAAATACGTGGCACATATTAAATGTTAGAATAATAGCTGTTAAAAATAATTACCTTTATAAATTAAAGTTTAGCTTCCTAAAATGCTAATTATTGATGTTGATATACTTAAAAATTCTCCATAAAATTTTTAATTCTACATAATATGTATCATCTTTCATTTTAAATTAGCTTTATATAAGATAAATTATCTTGGGTATCTAACAAAAATATATAGTAATATTCAAATATTTCTGTCTAGTACTCTTTTATACTTAGTCATTCAAATAAGAATAGAAACGTCAATAATAAATAACACTGACATTCTAATATTGTTACTATAGTAATATTGTTACTGTACTATACTATATTTATTTGTTTAGTTCAATGTAAAATTTAAATGTTTTTTCTTTCAAAACACCAAATGCAGCTGGCCAATAATGGATCATGCTTGTAATCCTAGCTACTCAGGAGGCTGAGATCTCAGAATCTTGATTCAAAGCCAACCCACATAAGGAAGTTTGTGAAACTCTTATCTCCAATTAAGCATCAAAAAAAGCCAGCAGTGGGGCTGTGGCTTAAAGAGTAGAGCCTTGAGCAAAGAAATCTTAGGGACAGCACCAAAACAAACAAAAAACATCAAATGCACTTTAAAGGAGTAATTTCTTTTTTAAAAAATTATTTTATTTTCTTCATTTGTTTGTTTGGTGGCTGTGGGGCTCGAACTCAGGGCCTTGGTGCCTGTCCCTGAGCTCTTTAGCTCAAGGCTAGCAGCCTACCACTTTGAGCCACAGTTCCACTAAGGAGTAACTTCTAACAGATATAAAAAGTCTGTTGGGCTGAGATCATGCTCCAGAAGTAATTAGGTGCTTTTGACAATATATTGGACAGCTGTACCACTAATATCAATATTTCTCAAAAACATTCACAAAGCTGCTGTGTCTTCCATTTTAAGAAGTCTGTCTGAGGGGGCTGGGAAGGTGGCTCAGTGGTAGAGTGCTTACCTTGCATGCATGAGGCCCTGGGTTCAATTCCTCAGCACCACATAAGCAGAAAAAGCTGGAAGTGGCACTGTGGCTCAAGTGATAGCATGCTAGCCTT